AGGGTTAAGAGCTATTGAGTGGTGTGTGCAAGGTCTGTACATGAATTAGGCTTAGCACTTTGAACTGAAAGAGTGATTTTTATATTTTTTTGCATTTAAATTTGAAGTTTTGAGTTCAATAATTTAGTGTAATTTTATATTTAGTTCATAATAATAATATGATTCAGTATTTAGAATGATAAACTTGTGTGATTTGTACGCAATACTACTACTACCAGTACCACAAGAATTTTATATTTTTCCTTCTTACAATCTTTACTTTGTAGTAAGACCCACATTTCTGTTGTTATTGCTTTAGAATTAAAACATTCTAACTGATATATATTCTGATATTTTGCAAATGGTTTAAAACTCAGTGTGCAAGTGACAACAGTAAAACCCATATGTTGGTTGTGAAGCAGACTAAATACATTCGTCTCAATAATAATACATGGAAGCTATGACATTCTCATAGTTGGGGTGTCAGTACGCTGAAGAGTATAAGTTTCGAATTCCAACATAAATCTTGCCTATAATGAGAGGAATGTGACCAGGACTAATCTTTTAAGTGCTGTAAAGTAATTTTTTTTGTAATTTATGGTATCTGTATCGTTTGGTAATCTCTTCTAACAGGATGTATCAAGTAACTAGGGTCATGCAGTGTCATTGAAAGCACCTGTACTCTAAACTGTTACATACATTCGCTAGTAGTGGCAAGTAAGTTTTGTCTCTATAGTGAAACTCCTGCAAAGTGCCAGCATCCACTACTATCGATGGCAACTCATTCCATAAGTCAACCACGCTGTTAGAAAAATAAAACTGTCTTAACTGTAGCCTAGCCTGTTTTTCCAAATCTGAAACTTGTGTCTTCTTGTATTGTCTTCAGAATACAGTATAAAGAAATTAGAGGTCTTCATCTTATTGATCTTCCAAATAATCTTGAAATAATATTCTTTTGGCCCCAAATAATCATGTAAAAAAATAACCATCTCCTTCCCTTCCTTTCTCAAGAATAAATAAGTTGACAGATATTAATCAACCCTATAACATATCTCTTCCATCCTAGTAGCCCTGCTCTAAGTTCTTTCCAGCACATCAATATTCTTTCTTAGATAGAGACCAAAACTTTTCACAGTATTCTAAGTGAGGTCCAATTAGTGATTTGTATAGAGAAGTCTCTTTTGAATTGTAATTAGTACGTTTATAAATACACCTTAAAATTCTATTAGTTTACGTACTAACAACATAGCACCTCCTTGTCCATCACCACATCAAATTTTCCTCAGTTATACTACTGAGTTGGCTTGCATGTATATTAAATATGTGTTCCAAAATATAATAACTTAAATGAAGTATCTTGTACTAACTACATTTAAAGATAATTTGCCAACTACAGGTGATACAAGTTACCCAATAGTATCTCATCATCCTCAATACAGTTAGAAATACCAAAAAAAGTTTAATTTTATCAACAAAATTAATTAATTTACTAATTATGTTACTATCAATATTATTCATATAAAAAGAAAGAGCAAAGGTCCAAGTACTGACACTCCATTAAAACAGGGTCCAGTCTGACTAGTCTTTTCCCAAACCCCTACTGATGTGATTTCCTTAGCTAATTTTTTATGTGACAGCTATCAAAAGCTTTTTGAAAATCTAAGTATACCATGTTCAGTCATTTTCCATTATCCAGATAATTATCCTCAAAAAAAGTTAACATTTCATTAAAGCAAGTTACAACTCTGATATAACCAGTTTGGCCCTGTTTAATGATATCATATTTCACTAAAAGATTTTTCAATAGTTCGTTTACCAGAATTTTTCCAACTACATAAAAATATGTATGTGCAAGGCTTATTTTACAAAACAAACACCCCTACTCTATTAGTGAGATTTCATATTGAATGTACATTTTTACATATTCAATATGTACATGTAATCCTTCCCTTTTATATGAAGCATTTACAAAGTCCAATTTCAGAGGTTATCAGTATTAATATACACATTTTTTTAGATACTTTTTACACCCACTTTGTATTCTATTTCAGTAAGCCCAAGGTTTATTTTACAAAACAAATGCTTCTATCATGGTAGCTTTTATAATGGAAGTATACCCTCATGCACATATTTACACTTAGATATTGCACATCTGGTTTATCTTAACTTTCAAAACCATTAATATTGTTATATTTAGAATTCTCCACTTACTAAGTTGTCCTTCCCTGAGGTGTTGCTAAGCATCTGTACAGCTGTGGTTATACTGGAATCTTCTGTCTCTGCAAACCAAACTGGTGGAGTTGAAGGATAAGCTTCCTAATAAACAAAACAGAAACTTATTCAGCATGTATCCTACAAGTGAATCTAAAAATAATTACTCATTTGGATGGTTATGTTTAAAAATACACATTTTAGAGAAGTTATTTCTTTTCCAGCCATTATCACAAAATTAATTATCTGTTGACTTCTTGTCAGCTTTGGTGGCATCCTGCTTCTGGTCAGCTACCCCTGATTTGGACTCTGATTGGTTATTCTTGGACTTGCCAGTTATATTCCCTCCATGGGCTTCCATATACTGTTCTACCAGTTTGATTATCTCGTCCACGTCTTTTGGTCTCACCTTTAGGAACAGCGATATCTCAGCAGATCACATGATCATAAACTGTTCATGTTTTAGTAGATTTGCCAGTCCTTCAAAACTATCTTCACACTTAGCCATGTCAGTCCACCTTGTGAAATATTACCATAGACATACCACAAACTGAAATACAGTTTCCCCAGTGTCAGGTTTGACTTCTCTGAACTTCTGGCAAGAACCTTCCAGCAATACCACTTTTAACTTGTCATAGTCCACGCATCTTATGACATCACGCCTGCATATACCTGTAGACCTTTTCCTGTGAAAAGAGGGACAAGACAAACTGTTTCCTTTGTCCCAGTTCTGATTTGGAGCAGATCTTTCATACCTCTTCAAAAAAGCATCCATGTTATATTTCTGTTAATCAAATATGGGGAGCTTGGGGTCAGCTGTCACTGACCCCTATTGTCCTTTATGGGCCCTTTGTCTTTCCATCAGATGAGCTTGGTGATCTCAATTTGTGCTCTATTTCCAGTCTCTCCTCTCTTTTTTCTTCTTTCTTAATGTGTGCTCTTATTCTCTCTATTTCCAGCCTCTTCTTTCTGTTTTTCTTCCTCTCCTTTTTTTGAGTTTCTTTTCTCGAGTGTTGTTGTTTAACAAACTTTCATAGATCATCATCTTTAAGCCCAAATCACTCATCTCTATCCACTAATCAAAGTTAGTCGACATGGTTATATAGTGTGGTTGTAACTTTACAATATTTTCACCACTAATACAACTGTGCATATATAGGCCTATTTGCCACAGTCGTTTATGTCTACTTCTACCACCATTTACTACTATAAATTTTGGCTGGCTCACCACTGTCTAGTTTTATGTATGAGCCGGATTCTTTACAGTAGGTGTCTATGACTCGTTGGCAAGAAATTTCCACAATAAACAAAAAGCACACAATCCAACTGTCTGAAAAGAATATATTAAAACAAAAAACATATATACAAATGTTCGTGTTACACTGTTGGTTATCACAGATGTATTCAGAGCTTTAAATAATTCTCTTTTTTTTTGTCAAAGTCCACACAGGCTGGTTCCGTTACTTTAGAACACAATTTGACAAGAAAAATTATTCTTCTCTACTCTGTTATTACACTATAATCTGTGACAATTTCACTATACACTCTTCGTTGCTAATCTTACAATCACGCAGTCTAGATCCATCTAATTTATTTATAAACCAGAGGTCTAGAACATTCCATATACTTCAAGATATTATGATGCAATAATACTCAATCAAAACAACAAGAAAAATTCAGAAAGTTCTAGTAACATGATGCAAAGATACAACAATCACAAATTCATAACTATAGAAATATACAATGTATGCTTCACAAACAGTTACATAAACAAACCTACAATAAATTATCACTTCTAAAAATACCTAAATGTGACACCTGCACTCTATAAACTATCTAAATCATGACAGTCACATTAAAGTTAAATTGAAACAATCATGAATATCTAACAAGCAGTAAGATGAGAATAGATCAATGGATAATGTGGGGCCATTCCATGTGTAGGACAAGATATCATCAAGAAAGACAGCTAACAACAATGTTCAGTGAACCTAGAACATGTCCAGTTATAAAATTTACTCAAATGGAATGGGCTTAAAGGAGGAGGTCCAAAGCAAAGAAGCAGTGGGACCTAAACTGTGTCCCCTTGGTGGTTGACACAAGAAAGACAGTGGATCTGACCAAATAGATAACAATCAATTCATAAGGAAAGGAAAGAACTGTGAGGATACCTGATGCAGCAAGCTGGTTAAAGACATAAGTAGAGAATGCCCTTCCAGGGATCAAGACCCCCAAGTCAGACTGTCATAAATAGGTAAAGTCTGGACTGGGTGGAGGTAGAAAGGTTATCAACCCAGTAGGATTCTTCAGAAGAGATTGTTTGTTTGGTGCTTTATGGCGCAAAGCAACGAAGCTATCTGCGCCAAACAACCAGTAAAAAGTGAACGTGAATTAAAGTAAAATGTAAAAATACAGCTAGTTAAAACTGAAATATGTGCAAAATTTAGATAAAAGATTTATATACAATTAAAAACACCAATATTGCGTAAAAAATTAAAAATACAATCTAGTCGGACAGTGTCACCAACACCAATGACACTGTTCAACATCAGGGGTAAACTCTTACAAATTATGTGTCTAAAATGGTGCCGCCACTCACAGTTGTAACGATGGCACAACAGTAAAATGTGGGCTATTGCAACTTGAGTATCACAATGGCTACAGATCGGTGGGTCAATACCTGATAAAAGAAAACGATGGGTTGAAAAACTGTGACCAATGTACAGCCTTACCAGGTTTGATCTGGAAAAGCTTGTTATGACGTTGGTCACCCCAAGTTGACTACCAACTGGCACGAAGCCGCACCTTGAAGACAGGGCCGTAGTCCATGTATGGGACAGGTACGGCCATGACAGCACCAGAGCAGACGGACTTAGCTGCGGTTTCAGTGAGCTCATTCCCGTGAATACCGACATGACCAGAGATCCAGAAAAACTGGATGGAAACAGAAGATATAGAAAAGTGGGCCAGTCGGTGTTGAATATCGACAAGAACAGGGTGAGGACTAATGTTAAGCAATTCCAGGGCCAGTAGAGAGCTAAGAGAATCAGTGTAAATAGTACAATTACTGTACTGCATAGCTTCTACATGATCCAGGGCAAAAGAAAGAGCATACAACTCAGCAGTGAACACAGAAACTGTAGAGGGGATCCTGTGAGCAACTACCAAGCCACAGCAAACCATGGCAGAGCCTACAGTCACCCAATGTCGAACCATCCGTGTAAATAGGAAGAGAAGAATGGCCCAAAAGATGTTCAGCAAAAAGAAGACTGTACTTCCAATCGGGAGTATCCGCCTTCCTCAGATGACCCAAGGAAAGGTCACAAAAATGGATGGAAATAAGCCATGGTGGAATGGGCTGATCACTGGGGACAGTAATGCCATCCAATGCCAGACCCAATTCAACCAGTTGTGCCTGGATACAAAGGCCAAAGGAAGGAATAGCAGACTGTCTGTTTCGAAAGAGCATGCACACTGAGGAAGAAAGACATAATCTGAGGTGGGATGCCGTGGTAAGGATCGAAGCTTGGTAGCATATTGTAAAGAGAGTTGCAAAAGATGGAGGTGAAGAGGTGGTTCATGGGACTCAGTGTACAAACTCTGGACTGGAGAAGTGTGAGAAGCCCCGGTGCAGAGCCGAAGCCCCAGATGGTTAATGGGGTCCAGCATCTTCGAGGCCGAGGTCCTGGCACAACCATAGACCAGTTTGGATCAAATCAGAGCACGATAGATCCTGAGCATAGAACATCGATCCGATCCCCAAAAGCTGGAAGAGAGGACACAGAGGGTGTTCCGAGCCTTTGCACACTTGACACGTAGCAGCTTGACATGTGGAATGAAGCTACGCTTAAGGTCAAAAATAAGCCCCAAGAATTTTGCCTCAGGGACAACACGAATAACTATATCACCAAGATGAAGCTCGAGATCGAAGTGAGACCCCGTTGGCGGCAAAAATGCATGCAAACAGTTTTGGAAAAAGAAAATTTAAAACCGTTTGCAGTGATCCACGTTAACAGCCGATTGAGGGCAGTCTGAAGCTGCAACAGTTGGAGGAAGATTATTATTGATGGCATTAATTTTAACACTCAAGACACAGCCCTGAGGGACTACAAGTTCCTGTGGAAAGGAATGGGAAAGAGTTGACCCCACACGGACTTGGAATCGCTGGTTCAGTAAAAAGTTTTGAATAAAAATAGGTAAATGGCCACTCAACCCATAGGAGTGGAGGTCCTGCAAAATTCCATACCTCCACATAGTGTCATAAGCCTTCTTGAGATCGATGAACACAGAAACAAGGTGTTCTCTCTTGAGAAAAGCTTCCCTGATCAACGTTTCAAGTTGAATCAGATGGTCCATGGTGGAGCGCTGTCAACAGAACCCACACTGGGTGGGTGAGAGGAGCGTGTTTGATTCCAGGAACCAAACAAAATGAGCATTAACCATCCTATCTAGGACCTTACAAAGACAACTAGTCAAAGCGATGGGACGATAATTAGAAGGAGTCTTGGGATCCTTCCAAAGTTTAGAGAAAGGGAGGACAATAGCCTAGCACCAAGCATGAGGAAAAACATGCTCCTGCCAGATCCGGTTAAAAATAACCAGAAGAATAGCAAGAGAGGCAGGAGAGAGAGATGGCGCAACACCTCATAATGAACATCATCAGGTCTGACCAATGAAGAGCAAGTTTGAGTTCCACCAGTGTAAAGGGGTGATTATAATCATAGAGACGATCGGCCCAAAAGGAAAGAGGCAATCACTCTGCCCAAGACTTGATGGCCAAGAAGGCAGGGGAAGAAACAGATGTGCTAGGAGCACGAGAAAAGCTGTGGCCTAGAGTATCAGCAACTTTCTGGCCATTGGAGAGCAAGATGGAAAGGGGATGGGAAGCATACCTCTCAGTGACTTTCCAAATCTTGTCCCATACAGTTTTGGAACTGGTGGTAGAAGAGATGCTAGTAGTGAACTTCATCCAAGACTCCTTTTGGCTTTGACGTCGAACCTGCTGAGCATGGGCCCGCTAATAAACAATGCAGTTAGAAAGAGAGGGATACCGTCGGAAGGTATCCCAGGCCAGTTTTTGAACCTTCCGTGTCTCCTGGCAGGCAGGACTCCACCATGGACGAGGATACCGTGGAAAATGTGTCGAGGTCTTAGGGATAAAATGAACAGCTGCCTGGACAATACAGTCAGTTACTGCAACCACACAATCATCTATTGATGGGAGACAGACAAAGGCAGGATCAATTTCACAGAGAGAAGTGAAAGACGGCCAGTCAGCCTGGCCCAACTTCCACTGTGGCACTCGGGTCAGGTGGCATCGACCATGACCAACCTCCCTCGTAATGACAGGAAAAATGATCACTGCCCCGTGGGTCACTGTCGACCAACCAGGAAAAGCGAGTGAAAAGTGAAGGGGAGCAAATTGAGAGATCAATGGCAGTAAAAGACTGACTAGGTGCATGAAAATAAGTATATGTTCCAGTACTGAAGAAAGAAAGGTCATGATCTGAGAGCATATGCTGTATGGAACGACCCCTCCCATCAATATCAGCACCACCCCACAGGGGGTTGTGTCCATTGAAATCTCCCAGAAGTAAAAAGGGATATGGCAACTGGTCAACGAGAGCATCAAGGTCCGATTGATCATAAGACAGGTAGACAGAACAAACAGTGATGGTACGACCCAAGGAAATACTGATGGCTACGGTCTCCAAGGGTGTATCGAGAGACACAGATAAGGAGGGCACATGCTGCAGCAGTGCCACCCCTCCGTGC